ATTGCTTTAATATTTTTAAATTAGGAAGTTGAAAAATATAACTGTTATTATGTGGGTAAACATTGACTATGTTTACCACATAGTAACAGTTTGAATTGAGATTGTATATGTTTGGTTCTAATGCGCGAAATATTGACAAGCCGCTGACCGTGGTGGAAAGGAGCATAGATTTAGTATAAACTCCTGGAGTTTATACTAGATCTATGGAAAGGAGTCCCTGCGCAGCACGCACACCCTTTTTATTATTTCTCACACCTTATTAATAATTCGCAATTTGTTCATACTCACAAGACTTGGTCGACGGACCGATGAACGCTGAGTTACAATTTAACAAAGTAGAAATGCCGCTCTTTATCACCAGTATTCGATAATTAGATTCAGTGTTTTGGAAAGTGAAGATCGACGAAATTACGATTTTATTATAAGTGAGGATGACGAAAGAGTACACAGTTCACCTGATGGTAAGTGGATGCTGCTGTGCCTCATCACCTACAATCTATCACCGATTAAGTTCGAAAATTCAGATGCATTTTCACAAATAAAAGCTAAGATGAAATACCTTGTTGCCAGTAAAATGGTCTCCACTTCCGTCACTAACCAAATGACAGAGCAGCATAATGTACGAGCAGATCCATTCGTGTTGCAGCCTTGCAGCCTTTACACGCTGTAGTTAGGCTTGCCAACCGTCCCGAATTTTCCGGGACGGGCCGTCCCGCCGCGACCCCTTGCGGGACGCCTTTTGTCCCGGAAATCAGTGTTTATATGATATTAGTATCTACATATCTCGTACCAACTCCACTATCACTACACTAATTTGTAACACTTTATCAAAATTTCTTAATACCTACGCATTCCCTATTTGGCGTGAGGGTGAGGAGCGGTCGGTGTTCTGTTCACAAATGCAGTGAATTTTATAAATACTTATTGCTAAAAAAAAACTTGTTAATTTGTGCAAAATCGAAAAATAAGTACAGTTTTAAACAATAATATAAATTAAATTGAAAATTTTAAAATAATTGTCAAAAATTTGTATTGTTTTTTTATTAAATGATTAAAAAATATATAGTGTTTTTTTTTCTAACCAATTGTATGTGGTGTGTAGTATCCCGCGTAATATACCCAAGTCCCGGATGTCGAGCTGGGTAATCTCGGAAATGCCTTTTTTGGAGTTGGCAAGCCTAGCTGTAATGTCTCTAGCGCCTATGAAGTATTTTTTCATACAAAATCCAAATGTTAATAACCTGCGCCAAAGCAGATACCGATAAAATATAAAAATACATAAACATTAATCACCCGTCTTATAATAGTTTTCTTGCAAACAAACTTTTTTCCTTTCATCATTACTGTAACAGATATTTATCTGTGCCATGAAGAAATTTTGTACGTTATAAACTTTTTGTCCACTTTCATTGTATTTTTAAGGCTGATTGGATTTTTTTTAGTTGCTTGGTTCATCGCCAGGCAAAAATTATTTGATGTCTTTCGATGAAATATTTTTACTTTTCATAAACTACTTTTACTGCAGCAATGTCAGGTACTTGTACAAAATCATATAGGTATTATATTTTTAAATTAATAGAATAAGGGTGACAAACGAGCACATAGGCCACCTAATGGTAATTGGATGGTGTGGCCCATGGGATGTCCACATCTGTCATCGATTAAGATACAAAATGCAGATACATTGTCACCCTTGAGGACTAAGAAAGAATGTCTCTTTTCCAGTAAAAAGAGGACCGCGGTCCTCCACACTTACCATACCATCCAGGCTCCTGGTATTTCTGTGTGTTTTTCATATCATATTAGTCGTAATATGTCCCCGTATCCCTACAGCTTTGGCTATGAAATCGGAGGCTTTATTATCCTTTTTAAGCAGCTTTTGGAAACCACTGTAAAAAATTAATTAAAATATTTCTTGTCCTGCTCATATCGGCTCTACGTGGAGTTGATAGGTACCTTCGAACTTATAACGTTATTCGCTGGAGAAATCCGTTGGAGCCTTGTTCGGCGGCGGCGTACATTATTTATTCTGTGGCAGCGTGTAATGTATTTGTAGGTTGCCACAGTAAGACTGGCACTAAGGCGACACCGTGGTATACTTTTAAATGTTAAAATACTATTTACTATTAACATTGTTATAGGATTCTCGTCTTAATTGACGATTATTTTTATTATCATATCAATCTAAGTGGAAGAGCCACGCTGCACATATATTATGGTTGTAGCACGTATGGGTCGGCCCGACCGGGGAAGGACCGCGCTCTCACAGAATACTAGCGCGAAATAGCAGCTTAATGCTGCTGTGTTTCGTATGGTGAGGGAGATTTTAATGCTGTCTGCCAGCAGGCTTTAACAGCTCCATCGGACTTACAATTTCTCCATCCATACATCCTGAATCATCCATATGGTAATTCAGAGATATTCTATACATACCGAAGTTCTTTGGAACTTTGATATCGTGACTTAGGCTTTGGTGCGTTTCGCCTGTGGCGCGACGACAGCGCCGCTACATCGTGTTATTAGTAACATTAATTTCGTATTTATCTCGGAAAGACGGCTGGATTTTATTACAGTTATCAATATGTATTACGGACAGTAATTATTGTTAATTAAGTACAGTTTACGGATATCCATAAAACTATTTCATCATAAATGTTGGACTATTTAATTAATTCCCATTTACTGTGACCGATTAAATTAAATGGCGCTCAACTTGAATTAGATGTTGTCGGGAATAAATTGATTGCTTCTATAACTAACAACACGAAAGAATAGATGAGGAAATTTTAATTACTTTCTCTACTCAGCGAATAGGGAGTTGCCTTATTTTATATTTATAATAAGTTGAAAGATTGAAATATCAAAATGTTAGCAAAGTAGGTGAATATATGGAACGCCGAGTACCAGCCAGAATTAATATGTAATAAAATATAATTAAAGTTTATAATCAGTGCCTTTTGGACTATAGCATTAATTAATACTCTTCTATACATAACATATTAATGTACTACCTTTTCGTAGATTTGTACATACACCTTGTCTTGTGGGTAGCTCAAATTTTGTAAAAATTATTAAACTCCTTCAAATCTGAATATTGTTTATTTTGATATTTATGGCTTTTTATTAACAAAATAATTATAATTTATAATAATGTTAGTTAACCCGGCAGACATTGTTCGATCCTTTCCGGGTACCGATACCAACACCAGCGATTAATATTGAAATTAATATTAAAAAGATAATGTTATTGTAATTTATATATAAAAACAAACATGTAATACCTATTTAAAAATATTACATTGATGAATGATTTGTAATTATACAAATGGTATAATTTTTAATTTGCGTTATGATTATGAGGCTACACAACTAAGTGCCTACTTGAAAATAGCCAGCCAGTTAGTTTTTGCCAGTTTTTTTTCGTTTTATTTCTGTCTTTTATAATCTGTGACAGGGAGTAATGTTACTCCACAAGCGCGGTCCACAAAAGGACCAAGATGTTAAAAAATGTGTCAATCATCCTGCGATCTAAGAGGTTCCAAACTTTTATGAGTTTTTGAACCGAACATTGTGTCCGAGAACCTAAAAAGAACACATTTATTTTATTTTACTTTACTCATCTTTATCGCTTCTTGACTTTTTGTTGGAAGAATTTCATGGACTAAGAACATAAAAAATCCACAAAACCAATCCGCTTCGCTCTACGTGTAATTATTTTTAAAAATAACTTTACCACATTAATGCTCATAATGTGGTGGAGTTTTATATACATAATTTGTACACAGATTTAAACATCCAACCCGAAACATCTGGACGTTGAACATCAGTTCCCCCGTGACCATGGATGCTGCAAAGTGCTCGAAACGTCGGGAATATAAAAAAGTTAATATACGCGACAAAATCCGTAAAAACTAGTTTCATTTAAATGTTAATTAACAAAAGTGTTAGCATAAATATAAGAAATTATTAAACAAAATAATTGATTCGTACGGGAAATATTATAGATATACTAAATCTTGCAGCGTGTTTTAAAACCTGGTTGCCTATAATGTGCTAGTCTTCGATCTATAATCGAAGGTGCTAGTCATCCAACGACTTTTTTGAAATTAGGTATTTCATTCGGAGCCTAACCGAAACGCGCTCCGTAAATTCGCAAAATTATTCGCAAAAAAAAACTATTACGTCGCATACTCACAGACGCAGGACCCAGCAACACGGTAATTTTATCTATACAGTATTCCAACTTCATACAAACGGACGAAGCGAGAGCTATGCCTACGCGCCTCGATTTTGGCATGCGCTCGGCATGCAGACAGTCGTGAGTGCCACGGTGATAATTTTGTGGAATATATATAAAAAATGGAGGAAATAAATAATAGAATAAAAATAAAGAAATAATAAATGCGAACTTCATTTAAAACCAAACATATAAATTATAAAATATCTTTTACTTGGTTATAGATACCTCTTTATCCAAGTAAAAGATATTACTTTTCTCCACCTTGTCCATGTTTCCCAAAATAATTTTTAATTAAGCTTTATATTATAATGCGGATTTTTTATACTTAAAAATTTAATAATAAAGTAATTCGTACGTCTCAGCCGAGGCGCAAATATTTTTCGGTCGCAAATTCATAAGACCGATTTGTTATTCATACATAAACATGGTTTTTTAATTAAATCTACCAATCAAAAAACGATACGCATTTTTATTGAACACTTCCTATTGAATTTTCAAAGTACCTATTATATTTGATTATGTAAAAAAAGTATATTTACAATCATAAAACTAGATGGAAACACAAAGTAGGTAAATGTAATGCTTCATGCAGCCCTATTGCATGTTTACGTACCGCGCTGCTGTAGGCATTTATTTCAAAGATACGGCCGAGTTACAATACTGTATAGATAATATAATATTACCGTGCCAGCAATCAGAAAAAATAACAAAGTCGATATTAATTTTAAAGTTTCCTTCGAATAAATTTCAACCAGTTCAGATGCTGCGAGTACGTACTGTGATTATAAAAATGCGTTTGCCGTGTAAAACTGATGTTTCTTGTCCGTTGACTGTTGTTTTAATTGTTTCTCGTTGAAGATGTATCAAGCGCATTATCCTGCAGGAGGTTTTGGGCGCGGCGAGCGGGTGAGGGGGGCGCTCGTACGCATAACTTGGCCGTGACGTCACGAGGGCCGCCGGTAAAAACTCCATGAAGCCGAGCAGTCAAGGCCTTCGAGACTTGAATTTACATGTTATTTCAATATCTGCATGCACGTTTAATATCTGATATTGCTGGGTATCAATAAATATAATACTTTGTTGCTTACGATAAAATTTGAAATATACTGAAGTGTTGAGTAAACAAATCTTAGTGCGTTTGATGCCAATATTTCACTCTAATATAAACAATTATAAACAATTACCAGAACCGTTATTTACAAAGTGTTGAAAAAATAAAATTAACACAAAACAACATTTCGTAGATACATAGCTATTTTAAAACATGTAATATACGAGTACATATATTACATGTTTTAAAATAGCCACCTCAATAAAACTTCGAAAATGAATTAATGAATGTTAAACGTATGATTTATCTCTTATTTTACACTGAATTATTGCTCAAACAAGTTTAATACACTTGTTCATTGTGTATTTACTCGCAATCGAGTTTACGAGGTAGCTCAACTATTGTAACGGTTAGCGTTTCGGAGAATAAATTCCTAACATCTCCGTCAGCAGTCGGTCGTTGTAAGTAGATAATTTGAAGTTGTTTTGAAATGATATTACGGCTGTTTTCAATAAGAGCGTTTCTTCATAAATATTACGCTACTAATTTTAAGCTACTTTCATATAAATAGGTATATTATATATATAGGTATATATAAGTAACCGAAGTTTTGGTCGGTTCCCCAATACTTAAATGGAATGACGATCTGATAAGAAATGCGGAAAGTCAATGAATGCAGGTGGCTCAGGGTCAGGCCCATGCTATGTATTCCTTGGGGTAGTTCTATGTTCAGCAGGGAACTTGTTATAGACTGTTGGTGATGACTGTTTGTTTTTTTTACTACCTCTGGATGATGATTTTTTTACTACCTCTGGGAAATCCTATCTCCTGTATTGTGAGGGCAGTTTGCATACATTAATCGCACAAGAAAAAACATCCAGACCCGAAACGATTACTTGTAGGCCATACAAAAACTTGTTTTGTGCGAGTTTCGAACCCGCGGCCCTCAGCGCTGGAACTCATTGGTAAGCCACTGCGCCACAGAGGCGTTAAAAATCATTAAAACCATACGGTTTATAGCATCTTACGGCATCTTCTTCATTATATTTAGGATCCCGCTGTCATACAAGCATTTCTTCTATACTCTTTGTGTCTGTCTGTCCCAATCTAACAAGCCTTCGATATTCAGTTTTTAACTGAATTGGTCAAAAACTTATGGATCTTTAATTTTGATATAGATTACAATTCAATAGTTTAATATAATAATAAGGTTATAAAACTTCAAATTTGTCTGTACTTAAAACCACCTTTTATATTGGGGAAATACTTAAATGCATATTTCCCACGCGAGAAAGGGGAAATATAACCTCAAATGGCTTAGCAAGATCCTCCGTTATGCCGAAAGTATTGCAGCATTAATTATGAAATAAATATATGGTAAAGTTGAGGATTAATGTTAAGGTTTATGTTAGACGAAAACACGATTCCGTAAATTTTTCTCGATAGAAAAAAAATCCTAAGTTACCTCCAAACTGAACAATAAACCGCTGTTATTCATAAAATACTTTAAATAAGATCATGAAACTTTGCATACTAACTGAACTACCATAAAGCAGTGCTTATGTTATTTACTTTTTTTAAAATATCATTATTTTCACTGTAAAAAAGAAATTACCTAAACTATCGGCGCGTAAGCTTGGTTCCTGTCGCTCCGTTAGTATTGCTCCGGCTTTTGAAGGGAGAAGTTGTGTCGCTTACGATCAGAAAACACATTACGCAACAGGAAGACGTAAAATTAAAATGGGAAATAACCGTTATAAAAATAAGAAACGACTGGGTTGGCGTTAAGAAACAGGCATATATATGATAAACATAATGAAATAAGTATCTAACGACCTATCTACTTAGAGTATTAGTGATTACAAACATGTCGGTACATAGCATACGACGCGCGGGGAAGTGAGGGCGAAATTAGAATTTGAGCTGACTTACTCTCACCTCTTAAATCGGCAGAAATCACCCCTTTAAGAGGATATAGTAAGTCAGCTCAAATTCTAATTTCGCCCCCACTTCCCCGCGCGTCGTATGCTATGTACCGACATGTTTGTAATCACTAATACTGTAAGTAGATAGGTCGTTAGACACTTATTTCATTAGGTTTATCATATTTATGCCTGTTTCTTAACGCCAACCTAATCGCTTCTTATTTTTATTACGGTTATTTCCCATTTTAACTTTACATCGTCCTGTTGCGTAATGTGTATTCTAATCGTAAGCGGCACAACCTCCCCCTTCAAAGGCCGAAGCGAAACTGACCGGGCGGCAGGAATCAAGCTTCAAGAAGTGGATAGTTTAGGTAATTTCTTTTTACAGTGAAAACAATGGTATTTAAAAAAAGTAAATAACATAAGCACTGCTTTATAGTTAAGTTAGTATGCAAAGTTTCATGATCTTATTTAAAGTATATTATGAATAACAGCGGTTTATTGTTTACTTTGGATTTTTTTTCTATCGAGAAAATTTTACGGAATCGTGTTTTCGTCTAACATAGTCCTTAACATTAATCCTCAACTTTACCATATATTTATTTCAAAATTAAAGCTGCAATATTTTCGGCATAACGGAGGATCTTGCTAAGCCATTTGAGGTTATATTTCCTCTTAACGTATAACGTATAACGATAATTAGCTTTTTAAATTTAAAATAGCTCTGTCTGAAAACGTTTGATTAACTTTATAACTAGCATTTAAACTAATCTACCCTACCTTGCGCATGTACTGCTTCATCAAATATTGTGTTCCTTCGTTAGGAATTGAAATTATTTATAACGCGTTAAACGATGAAATTCTCAAAAGATTCTCCATACTCACCACGTTGAGATTAGATGAGCACTATGCCGAAATCTGGTACCCTCGCGCTGGTAGTGTTGCCTATGGGATTTGTTTTTTTATACAAGTAAAGGCCACAAACAAGCACACAGTCTACCTAATATAATGGTATTTGTGACATTAAGACAATGAAGTTCGATGGGACTTATTTTAAATACTTTCTCGGATTTAGCCACATAGTGCCTATATTTTGTAAACTCTTGGAATTCAATTTATCCGCAAATACCTTATCTACTAAATAGGTATAAATCAAAAGGCATAAATAACACTTTACAATGCGTTTCTTACACGTTGCTTTTATTTGCAGGTTACGGTTTGGGCAAACAGCACAATTGCAGAAATAGTTTGCGAGCCCCTCCAAGAAGTAGGAGCAGTTGTGGCGGGGCTTCCAACTGGACCATTGTCAGCGCCACAAGTCTTGCTTTTAACGGCACCACTGCCTCCGCCCTCGGCTTTGTCTGCCCCCCCGGCCGCTTTGCTGTTCCTCGGCGGCTCTAAAGCGCCAGTGGATCCCAGAGCACCAGCGTCTGCGTTAGAGGGCGAAGTCATTGTTGTGGAAAATGAACCACCGCAATGGGATGGCAAAGATTTGGAGACGTTTCTTGCGTGGGAAAGGATATATGGTAATTTTTTTTGTTAAATATACATATATTCGTTTATTTATCTAGGCATTTATTGAACAACACCTAGAAATAAAGGTAACAAAAAGCGGATTACATGAACACAGTATTTTAATTAATATTCTGAAAATAAATCTAGTAACAAATCGAATCGATTGGGAAAGAAAAAGAAGTACCAAGCAATGGATAAACAATCATAATAATACCATAAATTACTTATCAATACTACGTAAAAATACTGTAATAAGCGTATAGTGGCGGTTGAATATCCACGACCCCATATCGTCCCGAGGGTGTCGTAAGAGGCGACAAAGGGAAAATCGAACAGGAGATGGGCAGCAGCATCTTCCTGATTGTTATCATGAAGACCAACTCGCTCGCCAAGCGTGGCAGCTATGGCAAAATACTCTCACGAGGCAAATTATGGGGAGGCCTATGTTCAGCAGTGGATTTTTATAGACTGTAATTTTTTTATAGGATAGGGTGACGAACGATCACACAGGGGGGACTGAGATGTTTGACGTCCCAATGTCATAGTTAGTCCGGCTACCTTCAGTTTTTGAATATTAATTTTTGGTCCGATTTAGGGAATTAAAAATAAGTAAAAGTAGTGAAATAAACGCGATAAAATCCGTAAATTTAGTTTTATTCAATGTGTAGCGTTCGCGTAAATTTAAGAAATCATTATGTGAACGATCACACAGTCCACCTGATGGTAAGTGGTTGCTGTGGCCCATAGACATCTTTATCTATCCTCGATTACGAATCAAAATACAGATGCGTTGTCACCCGTGAGGACTAAGATGGAATGTATTGTTTCCATTTCCATTGGTATTCTGTGAGAGCGTGGTCCTTCCCCGGTCAAGTCGGCCCATTCGTGCTACAACTATACTACTAATATAACTGCAGCATGGCTCTACCACGTGTAATGGACTGTAGTGGATGGATGTTTGGAATACTTTCAGTATCTTAGTACTGCTCTTTCATTACGTTGCATATGCATGAAAAAATCTACGAATCTAAAAAGGAATCTATATACGCACTCGGGTTTGGAGAATTATTGACTATCTTCGGGGCTTTCCTTCAACAAACGCCGGTTATCCGTATATATAACGAGGTGCTAACGTAGTCGCGCTTAGTATTCCAATGGCGTACAAGCGATGTTTGTAGAAAGCGGTTTGGCAATAATGAAACGCGTACGCACGCCATTGTGTCGGTAATCTTTCGCAGAAGTGGCTCGTATGCAAACCAAACGCAGCCACCGTGACTGACATACCGACACTGGAATTGGGCGAGACATATTAAATGTGCTATGGGCACAGTAGACATGTGTAGTAATTTTTGGACGGCCGTCAATGTATCCGATTACTGAGTCGCGCGATCTCAGTTAGAATTTAACCAAAAAATTTTTACACGAAAAACTCTTTATGATATGTCTACCTATCTAGAGTTATGTTTGGTTTTCTAAAGCATGAAATTGCATGCTATTTTTGTACTGAACTTAAGGCTTCCCCGTAGATTGGCTACACAGTACGGTCCATAGCCAACTGGATTCATCCACCGTCACAGTAATTCGTCACTCGTGGGAGATCGCATAATATATAATATATAAATATATGATAATAATGAAGTAGAAATGCGGTCGCTAAGGAATATGTTAGGGCTGAGTAGAAGAGTGTGGTTTGCAAGATGATGCGGTGACCAGGATTAAGAAAGGAATGCTTCGGTGGTTTGGTCATGTAGAAAAAATGAATGAGGAAAGACTGACAAAGCAAATATATGTTGCAGAAGTGAATGGAAGAGTCGAAAAGGGACGTCCTGGGCGAAAGTTTGTCGACCAAATTGGCGATATATTAAAAATAGACCAAATTAAGAGTACCTTTAACCGACCAGCATGTATGTGTAGGTATATGGATGTAGAAAAGGCGAGAGAGGTATGTCAGGATCGTGCTAAATGGAAGTCTGTAGTCTCTGCCTACCCCTCTGGGTGCCAGCTCACACCTGTCTGTGTTTTTCTTGATATTATTTTTTATGATATGCCTGTTTACGTTTTTATGATATTAATTGCGAATTTTGAATTTATAAATATAAAAATTATGATATCGACGATCGTTACACTAACCATATAAAGTGGGAAATAGTCGACTAAGGAAATTGAATATTAATTAGTGTTAAAATACATAACATATTACATAAACACTCACGCCTGTCACCCAGAGGGGTAGGCAGAGACTACAGACTTCCATTTGGCACGATCCTGACACACCTTTCTCGCCTCCTTCACATCCATACACCTGCGCATACATGCTCGTCGGTTAAGGGTACTCCTTTTGTTATTTGTTAAAAATAAACATCCAAAATAACTACTCGTATGACTTGTAGATCCATCTAAAGACTAAGATCGCATGCATGGGGTATATCAACGTGGACAAGCAAACGATTATCACCATTTTGCTATCTCTTATGTTTTGAAAAAGATATGATTTGCAATTATCATTGTTATTAATTATCATTGCGATAAGAAAAACAACAAATGCGTGTAGAACTCGCACCCTAAGGGTTCCGTAACAGATTTATCTATATAGATAGTTCATTCAAGGACAAACGTAATTTTGCAGTACAGTTTTATAAGTTGAAATGGATGGAAATTTTCCAAACACATTTACAGACTTTTTAGACGAATAATTATTATTAAGACTAGTAGTTGATATACTATAATTGATTAAAACTACTTTTACGGATTTTATCGCGTTATATATATAAGTCGGGTATTAAAATTAATATATTTATATTAATTTTAATACCCGACGTTTCGGGTGCTTTCCAGCACCCACGGTCACGGGGGACTGAGGTGACTGACGTCCCGATGTCAAAGTTAACCCGGAGTAACTTCAGCTTTTTAATTATTGTTTTTGGTCCGATCTACGCAGAAGATCTACGCAGATTCTGCGTAAATCTTGCGTAAAAGTAGTTTTAATCAATACTATAATTGTTAAAAATGTAGCATATATATACGAAAATAATGACTACAAATTGAGGCCTTATTAAGTTATTAGATTTACAAGTAGATAAAAGGTCTGGGTCGTTGTTATGCAACACGTTTTAATGCAAGGTGAATAATTTGACATTCGGTTTGACCTATCCAACGCCCACAACTCTATCTATTGTGCCAATTTATTATTCCGCTATGCGTTTTAGATGTACGTAGACAATAATTATTGAAACTTATCATTACATGTCTGGCAAAGTCATGACACTATGTGATTTAATAACGTATAATTTCTCTTTTATTGCAGCTTCAACGTTGTTCTCAGCCTTGGAGCTGTATGGCAAGCCATTATTGCGCGCAGCTGTCATCACACGAGAGGAATACCATTTACTGTTCTATTATCTTGAATCTGTGTCAGAAGCTAGTGAGGCCCTAACGGAGAGAATGCGAAAGTACATCGATTCCGGACTATTAATTAGAGAAAGTATCAAGGAAGATAATGAGACATTGGTAGAGTCCAAAGAAAGTGTGGATGATGAAGGACCTAAGAGCCTTTTGTCTGAGTTAATTAAGGAAGGAGTGATTACTCAAAAGGATGTTGACTGCACATCTGTAATTACTAACTCAGAATGCAATGAGCTCAACGAGGTTGATCGCAAGTTAGATGACGCAGACATTAGTTCTAGTGTATCATCTGTAGGTATAAGTCTTCGTAAGATATTAGTGGATATTCCAGTAGACAATAATGATCCTGAAGTTGACAGCTCTTTGGTAGAAAATGAAAGTGAAAGCGTATCGTCTGTTTCACTAAGAAACAGTAGACAGTGTTGTGTCGATCATAGAATATCAGCCGACGTATCAGAAAATGTTTGGGCCAATGTGCGTTGGAATTTCCTCAACCCCACGGATTTCGGGTATGATCAAGTCCGTAGTGTAAAAAGAAGTCGTTCTGAATCTGCAATTACACCAGTTGTCACTAGACGCAGGAATGAAGAAATATATGAAACTATGCGTGCCGACGAAAAAGAATCTTGTGGAAGTATAACACCTTATGAATCGATAGAAGAGTTATATGATTGCATTAAAAATACACCTTATATTAGCGCAGCTGCAGTGGAGTCGTCGCCATCAACTGAGAGTCAATCTGAGCCTCAATATCCGGATTATGACGAAAAATCGATCAGAACTCGACAGAGTTCTGCGAGCAGTGATAAAAGTGGTACCTCGTCCGCATTTCCCTTTTCTAAATACGGGTCGAGCGATTCTACTGGAGCTTATACGTCGTGTGAATCGACAAGTGGCATCGGCATTTTCGCTCCTAAAAACATCCCAGAGTCTGTTAAAAGGCGTGAACTGCCACCGCCCCCATCGGAAGGTGAAATAAGTGAGAGTGCGATTTTACTCAAGCAATTGTTTATGGGAGAACTGTTGGACGCTTATGGAGAGTTTCTCTCAGCGTATCCGTATGCGCGGGCCCTGTTGAGACGCAAAGCACGTCGTGACGAACATTTTACGGCCCTTGCTGACATCCGAAGAGGTGCTGCCAAGTACACGATTGCCGAATATCTCGAACTGCCGGTAAGTGCGCTTAGCTTTAGAAGTTACGCTCATTAAGGCGTTACCCCTAGCGAACGACCTTGAGCATTCGATCCTATACAAACCACGCGCTCTTGCTACAATATATCGCGTAAGAAATACTCCCAAATTTTGGAATTATCTCAATTAAAAAAGAAAAGAGAACTTAAGAAATTAATAAAACGTGAATAATGTAGGTTTTTAAATTATCTATCCATTAGTGTAATCCTCAAATGATTAGAGCTTTGCTTTTAGCAACAGATGCATGTAATTAATAATTTTAGTTGTTTTTTAAAAGTTGATTTTCAATGTATTTATAACACACTAAAACAAATTAGAACGTGGAATGTGATGATAGGATATCGAACATTAATAATGTGCTTTTAGATGTAGTTTATTTCTCATAACTAATGAGATAATAGTCTCTGAAAAATTATCGCAAGGTTTTGGTCGGGGTATCGTCTTAAGTTTTGCATTTTAACTTACATATTATGAGGCCATAACAAACAATGTAGATTTGATGTGTAAATCTTTCATGTCTGAGGTTTTTAACACAGCTAGAGCTGCGTTTGTTAGGTACCGCACGTGTTAAATATGGTCATTACATTTAAACGACAAAGGAAAAAGAACAATACGATCGAGAGCGTCTCAGCTGGATTGATTTAGATTGAGGTTCGGTTTGATCGCAGCCGCTGCATTGATACTACGCGTGGCTCGCGCACGCGCCGCCATTCAATGCTAATGAGCCGGAAGAGTTCACGGGTAACTCTCTCTCGGCTCATTGCAGGCTTTGTGCTCCAGACTCCGCTTCAGGTTTCAAAGCGACTCGGGAAAATTTAATATTCTCATTTATATGTTAACTGAAATTCTATTTACTGCTTACTTATTTAGCATACTCAATTATAAACGTAAAAGGATACTTAAGGACATAGTCCAAAATAATTCAGAGATCATAATGTAAAATTAAGCTCTTAGTAAAATATAATTTTTATACGTGGTAGAGCCATGCTGCAGTTATATTAGTAGTATAGTTGTAGCACGAATGGGTTGGCTCGACCGGGGAAGAACCACGCTCTCACAGATATATATGCTGTTTATACTGTGTTTCGTATGGTGAGTGTAGAGAACCGGAGAACCCTTTTTACTGGAAACAAGGCATTTCATCTTAGTCCTCACGGGTGACAAAGCATCTGCATTTTGATTTGTAATCAAGGATAGATGTAGATGTCTATGGGCCGCAGTAACCACTAACATCAGGTGGACTGCGTGCTCGTTTGTTAAAAAAAATAAGTTACAGCCTATAACCTATATAATACGTTTTCGACAACCACCAGTGATTTTCCGGACCGATACGACTAGGTTAGGTTTAGATTAGGGATCTTTAAGAGAAGAACCTTCTTTTTTTTAAAAGACCGACAACGCACCTGCAACTCTTCTGGCATTGCAGTTGTTTATGGGCGACGGTAGTCGCTTACCATCAGGTGAGTCGCATGCTCGTTTGCTCCTTCTTATATATATAAAAAATACGTCCCAACAGTGGGCACAGGCTTTCTCTCATTTCGGAGAGATTTAAGGAGAGATTAGTCTGCCGCGCAGTTCCGGTGCGTGTTAGCTGACTTCACAAACATGTCCTCGAAATATTTCAATCTCGATGTCGTCACGTTGTTTTCATTCACCGGGAGTGCACTCGTTAAACGTAACAATTTCCTGGGTATCAGCGACGATCGAACACAGGATGCTCGGGTACTGTAAAATTTATAATTTAACAAATTATACAAAAATATTTAAATTTCGTTGCAACATAATTTTAGAAAGTAGATATTAGATATAACTTAGAAGAATACCAAAGCACAAAAAAATAAGCTCCACTTTTTAATAGTTCTACAGTTTCTAATTTACTGATTTTTCTTTGGTCTTAAAAGTATTTTTCAAACATAATGTAGGTTAATTTATTCAGTATACTGCTTAAAGTTTTATTAGGTATTTATTTCTTTAGGTGGGAACGACACAATCCATACACAGATTTCCGCTGTTCCAGTTTTCTAGTACAAGTTACTACATAAAGTTTGTAGAGCAAGCTCCGTACAAAACTTCCGTTTGCACAATTTTTATACCAGTTATCGAAATTATATTTGCCTTGCTTTTTATAGGACGTAAATTACTCCAGATTACTATTTTAATTTTGTCGGTAATTATTAAGTCGTGAATCCGCAATTTTATGTGTTATTACGTGGTAGAGCCATGCGGCAGCTACATTACTATCTATAGCTATATATATTAGGTTCTAGCACGAATGGGTCGGCTTGACCTTCGAAGGACCACCCTCTCACAGAATACCAACTTAAAATAGTAGTTTAAGTGCTGCTGTTTCGTATGGTGATGGCGAGTGTAAAGAACCGAGACATTTCATCTTAATCCCCAAAAATGTCAACGCACCTGTACATTAATTCTTAATCGAGGATAAATGTAGGTCTCTATGGGCCACAGTATCCACTTACCATCAGATGAACTGTTGCTAACTTTTGTCAACCTTATTTTATAAATAAATAAACATTCATATATGACAAAAAAGTTTTGTTGTAAATAATAATTTTCACATTTACGTAAGGGTGACATAGGAGTTGGTGTTGTGGTAATAATTACTTAGCTATATCTGTCCTAGATTAAGGATAAAAATGCAGATGCGAGGTCACCCCTGAGTCTAAGATGAAATGCCTTGTTTTTTTATTTATAGAATAAGGGTGACAAATGAGCTCTCAATCCGCCTGATGGTAAGTGTATATTGTGGCACATAGACATCATGATTATTATCATCATCTACATCTATCCTTGAGAGCGTACTCCTTCACCAGTTGAGCCGACCCATTCGTGCTACAGCCATAATATAGCTGCAGCGTGGCTCTACCACGTATTAACGCCACGTTATATTCAAAAAGGGTCTTGGGCTTAAATAACTGATCATACAAAATACTTTTAAATGCTGGTATTCTGTGCGAGGCTGGTTTTTTTTTGGACAGACTAATTCTTGTATGTCCAATTTTATAATGCAGCCATAAAACTTAACACTACTTAACATGGTTCCACCACGTACAAAGTTAGACAAATTACTCATATATTACAAATTCGATGGTTATTGTAAATATTTGTATAATTACGTCATTAGTTGTGGAACTCTATTTGTTTGAACATGCGTTGTGTCGTTGATAGATTGAATTAACGCAAATGCATTAACTCGTGCAATAAAGCTGTGTTAAGTGGAAGATAAATAGAAACAGCAGATGTGCTCTGGATCATTTTATGACGCAATCGCTCGCAGCAAAGTGACTAAGAACAGGTAGCGCAGGGGGCCCTGCCTACACGCACCAGTCCATTCGCCCACGCTTCTCGTCGGTCATCACTATTTACGATTACTATATACGTCAAATGTATCAGTAAATTATTAAAATTAATCCTCATAGTCAACAAAACATGAAACGTTTTTAAAGGATATAATTTGTTATTAAAATGGAAAAATTATTATTTTTGATTCCTAATACTTACACAATAATTAATTTTGTTGTTTATGTTATAAATTACAATGTTAAATCCAGAACGTACTTTACGAGTTTAGCGAAAAAAATATTCTTTGATAGTAGCGCCCTCAATAATAAAATGCATCCTAAGTTTTTAAGCACCATAGCAAAAAACGATTCAACATAGCCTAACCCGCACACACGGTAAAAACATAACCATCCTTTTTCGTCTGTAGTCGGATAAACAACAGGTTAATAACGGTTGCGTATCGGCTGCTTTGGATAAATGTCCATTGTCAACGGTTATTTTAAACCTATATCATAACATCGTAATAATTATCGAAAAATTATATAAGAATTGTAATGATAACACCATAAGTAATCGATCGAAAAGGGGAATCGATTTTTTTAATGAGATTTGTGATTGGCAACACTTTTTATTTTATCCACAAACTAATGAACTCCTGATTTACCTAATTTTATTCTTATCTTTTCGGTACTTTTAATTTGTGCAAAAATATTCCCATTGTTTTAGGATAAATGAATACCGCGATTAATAACCATAAATAAAGATATAGTTTTTTAACAAATGCACATTGTTGGGCGTTCCATGCCCGAAAATGGACAATGCCCTTTTCTGTTATAATAAATAATCCAACTAAGTACAAAACATTAAATTTTCTACAACTTTTAATACTTTTCTAAATCAGTATAAAATAATTTTGTGTAGGAACTAAAGCTATTAAGTAAAGTGTTAGTATTCGGGACTAAAACAGAAATTTATACATATAATTCGATATGAAATAAAGTTTCTTTTATAACATGTGTTGCATAAAAGTAATACGTTTATAAAATAAAATTGTCAAATCTGTCAGCTATATTTCCTCATAAAATTTAAAATTTACGGGAAACTTACCAAAACTGCCAGGTATCTACATAGTTTAGAAGTTTCATATTATAGTTTTGAAATAATGCCTTATTTCGTTATGCACAAATTTATTAATCCATATTAAAGTTCTTTATCAGCCATACTCCTTTTTCTTTTTCACAAGTCCGCCCTTTTGTTCTTGTTTATTTATTTATTTGTTTCCACTAAATTATGTGCACTGAAAGAAGCAACAATGAATATATGCTTACATCAATAGGTATAAAATTGGTGCCTAAACTAGGTAAAACCTGTATCTTAGGTACGTAGTACTATTACTTATACTGTGTCTTATGTCACCAGTCTGCAGATTTCTGTGGACGCCTGACGTAGAGATGGTCACCTATCGGCACCCATAAGAGTTTTCTAGTATTTCACTTTACCTCTCTTACGACATCACATGGCAACTTTACTGATATACTTATTATGTAAACGTTGAAGATTAGAGGGGTATTATTGATTATTAGTTAAAAAAGTTAAAATTACAGCCTATATACGTCCCACTTGGTAACAGGCCTAAAACCCTCTTAGAAATGAGGGGCATTTCTGAGAGGGATTTATGGCAAGGAAGTGTCCGCCGCGCTGTCCCAATGCGTGTTGGC